TCCTCATTACAAAGCGGCACACAGCAATAAGCCGCGGAGCTCGATTGCGCATGACCGTCCATTTTCAGCGTCTGCTTGCACATGTGCTATTTGTCAAGTCAGCCTCGTTGTCGAAACGAACTTCAGCGCGTGCGTGACTAGAGTCTATATTAAGAAACTTGTGTTCTAAAATTGTCGTCATCCCGCCTACTATGAAGTCATATTATATCACAGCTTTAGTCAAATCAGAATACCTGAGTGTTTCCTAAGCACACGAGCGCGTGAAATAATCCTTACATAGATTTACAAGAGTATTGAGAAAAAGAAAGAAATTTGTACATGATGAAGGATTATCAGGTTTACAGTTTCTTAATGGAAAAAAATGGTTATTTACATATTTTACAACCGAAATAAATCCATAAACATAAAGAAATTCAAGCTTATGATAAATCTCATATAGCATGTGACCTAAAAGTGCATATCAATGTTTTAATTGCACAAAAGCCCCGCTATATCTACTTCTTTTTGCAGAGACTTCCTGCTAGTTACATGTAGTTGTGCTGCATTAAGCATGAATTTTTCCACCAGCATAAATTTTTGGATACTTTTGTTATCTGGAATAGTTTACTCTTCTGGATACGGTATGTATTTATTTTACCTCCCTCCCCCCCCCCCCCCCCCCTGTGAAAAAAAAAAATTACAGTGTAATGCCAGATGCAAAAGCAAATGCATTTTAATCTTAGATTTCGGTCTCATGTTTTTAGACTGTACATTAAATTATACTATTATACTATTATCTAAAAATATTAAAATATTGAACATTTTAAATAAAGTCGACAATGGTTGTTTTGTATCTTACAAAACTTAATATAAAAAAAATTATGAAATGTATTTAAGATAGATAAAAAAAAAAGAGTCCAAGGTCAAAAATCCGGTTTTATTAATTGTAAATCGATTTAAATTATAGTCTACAACGGGTTCTTTTTATACAGAAGGCATTGCATGGATACGAGGCTTAGTTAAAGGGGTACTGAAATTTCCAGTTTTTTGTCCATGAAACTGAAGTGGGTTTTCGGTTAATGTCTGCAACAGTAAAAAGAGGCAGAGTGGGTTTTGCAATAGACAAGGCGTAGACTCGGATAATACATCAAATCCAAATGAGGAAAAAACTCATATATATTATAAAAGGTTATATAGAAAATGACCACGAAAGACTTTAACCAGAGGTGACCGTAATTTATACCATATTTGTTGCTTTAGCTACAAATCCAGCCTCTGAGAAAGGAAAGGCGAAACCAAAAAAAAAATGTTTGCCTCTCTTGGTCAACAGGAAGCAGAAACTTAATATCAATTCAATTCTGTGCAAAAGCCCGTCTTAAAGTAGTACAAAACACCCTGAAATCTGTTTTAACTCATTTCTTATTAAGTACACTAGGAAAAAAGAATAACATCACTATAATGTCAATAATCCATGATCTTTGTAAGAAAAATAATAAGCTGTGATTTGCCATATTTTGTAAAAAAAAAAAAAAAGAGAGACATCCTATATATTGGTCTTTCGGGAGCCAACATTTTGGAATGTGTTTCAGCCATCTACATGTAATATGACAGTCTGTTATTAAACGTAAAGTAACTTTTTATCTAATAACAGTAGAGACTTGATATTTGGGCATATTTATAAGAAGTATCAATCCTTTATACACCATAAACGTCAAGGTCATATTAAGAGGTCAAAGGTCAAATTTTGTGACGTCATCTAGTGATTTCTTTAAATTTTTGCATTAAAATCTTTTTTTAAATCGCCAAAATATATGAAACTGTCGGTTCAATTTTCCTTATTTTGACACATTTCAATCTAGGTTCCATTTCAAGCATTCTGTTATTTTTTTTGTGTATTACATTTTTTCTTAAGAGAACCTAAGGTGTACCGTACTTTCATGTGAATTTCCTATTCCTGGGCTATGTAAGCTCTGTTTTTTCATCACATTTTACTCGTATATACCGGTATAAATATAATTTACTGAGATTTAGTAACAGAAAGGTTGTATATATTAAAAGCATCACACAATCTGCAATAGATCAATTGGTAATTTTTAAATAATACACAAACTCAAGCCTAATGGTTGATTTCACAATCTTCTTATAGGGGTCCGATAGGCCATATTTCAAACTATGTTGGCAAAAAATGCGTGGTTGAATTTCTTTCATATTAAATTAAAAGAGAGATTTTGTATCCTTGAACAAAATTTCAAAGTTTCAAAAAAATAGAATTTTGCGGAAGAATTTGGCCTATCTATTGTGTACTACCTTAATCAAAGAGTCGAGCGTAAAAGCGACACCGTACGTATTCCTTAAAGGCAGAGATTTTAAGCACCGCCTTCAAAAAAAAATGGTCTGTGTACCCCTGTCAATCAAGTGCATTAAGGTAAATAATTGTGTGCTAGAACTTGATTTACAATTACTTACTAGTCCCTGTGTATACCCTGTGCACCTTGTTTGGCATTCGAGGTGACCTTCAAATTAACTTTTGATCCTTTGATATTTACCATACATGGTATAAACAATAAAGAAGCTGTATTAACTATGAAAATTTTAACTTGATAATATATATATAATAATTAGTATTTGAAATAATTATGATATTCTTTATGATAATATATATCAAAATTTGGTATAATAATTTTTTTTTTTCAAAGCTCAACAAATACTTTGAATGATAATATTTTTTTTAATGAGTGGGGATGCTTTGACATACATTCAAATACAAATTTATATAAATTATTGACATGAAACTGTTTTTACAACTTTTAACTTTTAATTCAAAATCATCTCAAAATCCAAACACAGGTAAAGTTTGACTTCTTGGTATTGTACTCTGTATTAAATTACTTTCTGTGTATACGGATTAGGAGACAAACGACCACAGGTAGACTGCTAGCCCTCAAGGCATTCACACCTGTACAAAATAAGTCCCTCCCTCACCTGGAATTTACAATTAGGTAAAAAAAATCTCTACATTTAAGGCACTTGCGACTCATAAGCTTTACAGATAAATCTAGATTTATGCTGCACATAACTGATGAAAAAAATCGAGTACGGTTACAACGAACAGAACATGTACGGGCACTGTGACGTCAGGAGATACATACACAATGGTGCTGCACTAATCTTGTAATTCTGCGAAACACTGTCAACAGCCATCGATTTCGTCATCTCCCAAAAACAGAATAATTTTGTGATTAAAATTTGTGGAATAAACTTTTTTTAAACTACGAATTCTGTTTTTTTTTTTTTTTAATTCAATTTATTAGGTAAAAGGATAAAGTAAATTAGCAGTACTTCTAAAAGTGCACATGTAAACAGCACGTAAACATTCTCGATTTCGATCATTGAGATAACATACAAAAATGGGAATAAAAGTTCAAAACAAAATGAAAAGAAAATCTTTGCGCATTCAAATTTCATTAAAAGATGTCTTTCGGTTTTAATACAAATCTGGTCTTGCTTTCAAAAAAAAAAATGAAATTGACGTAAGAAATTAAAGTATCCTTTCTGAATTGTCAAAATTCCTTGAAATAATATATCGTTTTTCTTATTACCTCTTACCTCTTATTACCTCGTAGATATCAACCATGACGTCATGAATTTTTTTCAGCATTTTCTTTGAAAGTTGCAGGAGACACCAATTTTAAAGAAAAATTAATAAATAATATATATATATATATATATATATATATATATATATATATATATATATATATATATCTCCAAAGTCTCTTCTTTGTAATAGAATAAAAACACTTTAAAACACTTTTTGAAATATTTCAACCGTGTTACCGGCCTTCATCAGTCGTATATATATATATATATATATATATATATATATATATATATATATATATATATATATATATATATATATATATATGAACATTCTCTCAAACAATATAGACAAAATGCATCGCCAACAAAGATTGTTAGATCTGTGAATTCCCGAAAGAACAAGCATTCTGAGAGTATTGCATTAGCAATACTAGTCCCCTACCGGCAAGTGTAATCTGGTTCCGTTCCCGTTAAGAATTGAAAGTGCCATAATTCCGTCAAAAATTAATGAAGCGGGACGAAATGCAAACTTGATTTATAACTAATCAAGGTAAAGCCACATACCAAAAATCAGCTCAATATCTACAAGCATTTAGAAGAAAATTGCGGAAAACCCGTAAAAATTGAAAAGGCCGTAATTCAGTCAAAAATCAATGAAGCGGAACGAAATGCAAACTTGATCTGTAACTCATCAAGATACACTTACATACCAAAAATCAGCTCGATATCTGCAAGCGTTTAGGAAACAAGTGCGGAAAACCAAGTGGGACAGACTGACAGACAGACAGAGGGACAGACAGACAGACAGACGGACAGACAGACGGACGGACAGACTCAGAGGAAACCTATAGTCCCCTCCGGTTTCACCGGTAGGGGACTAACAAGCATTCTGAATATCTGCAAGCGTTTAGAAAAAAAAAATTGCGGAAACCCCTGAAAAATTGAAAAGGTCGTAATTCCGCAAAAATCATTGAAGCGGAACAAATGCAAACTTGATCTGTAACTCATCAAGATACACTCACATACCAAAAATCAGCTCAATATCTGCAAGCGTTTAGAAAAAAAGTGCGGAAAACCAAGTGGGACAGACTGACAGACAGACAGAGGGACAGACGGAAAGACAGACTGACGGACGAACAGACTCGGAGGAAACCTAAAGTCCCCTCCGGTTTCACCGGTAGGGCACTAATAAAGACCCAGGTTTATCCTTATTGCATATTGTTGTTATTTTTATTATAATGACCGATAAAGAATTATGGCACTTACATGTACTTTAAATGATAATAGTCGTAAATTTTATTAAAATGTTTTTACATACATGTATATATGTTTCCAACCTTTAGCTTTGAAATGTAAAAAAAAATAGTCTTTATTTTTTTTAAGCAGATTTATTATCAATTGGAAAAAAGACATGGCAAATGCCTCTTTACAAACAGTGTAATGGGGAAAAGGCTTGTGCCATATATGCAGCTGATAAAGCAGTCGATAGTAAAATTGAAACATGCACGAGAACAAACCCTATTGGTCCCACTACAGATGCAAATAATGTATTATGGTATGTGGATCTTGGCGATATCTACAGTGTTTACAACATCACCATACACTTTAAAGACTATGGTCCAACGTACGGTACGTATCTCATAAATAGATAAAAAAAATTCACTGTTTGCATATATGCATACGTGTGTAACGGGAGAGGAGAAAAATGCAGCGGACCAGACCGGGATTGAAACCCGGGCCCCCTAAATCTTTAGTCAGGTGCTCTACCAACTGAGCTATCTGGCCACCGGCGATCGAACCCGTCTGACCGCCACATGTGAAAGCAAGGCATAAAGCCCCAATTCTCCGAATAAACTTTTTTATGGAAAGTTGACTACCGCATTCTTTTCTCTTTCTTTGGTAAAAAATATATTATCCAACTTAACTGATGTAGGATTGATCGCAGAGAAAAATAAAATATAATAGAAAGTGATAGAATTGCTGCTTTACTTAAATACAAGAGAGATCTATGCATATGTTTTTATTCTTTTATTAAACATAATTATTTTATTAACAAATTCAGTCTTGTCAAGGACTCATAAGTCAGTGCGTAAATGTGTTGGAGATTATTAGAGCCCTGGATAACTCATTGTGACATTTAATCTAAATCTGTTAAATTAAAAATTTTAACAACAAAATTTTGAGGAAAACGATACAGACATAACATTTAGGAGAAAGCTTTATAATAGTATATCTTAAGAAAAGTTAAGAAATTTTGTCAGCAATTTCTTTGCACCTCTTTAATGACGTTTACAGCATTACATGTTGCAACTTAGTCTGAACTTGTCTATCAAAAACTATATAATTATTTCCATTTTACACAGGTACATGTACCACTCTTAAGCATTTTTTTTAGTAAATGAATGAATTACTCATTCCACGGTCACTGGACATAAGTATTGGTTACTTCCAGCGATTTCTTTACAATAACTTTTTGTCAAAAGAGGCAAACCAAGAGTCTCCAAAACAGGCACTATTTATGTTATTTCACTGATTGTCTTCATGATTTAGAATGTCAGCAAAAAATTCTGAAATCGTCTTTAAATGAACGTTTAGAAAAATTACATACTCTCCGCTGTTTTTTTTTTTTAATAAGGATGCTTTGAAGAAGATTTACCGACTTCCTTATTTTTGTTTGACACTTAGAGAGTCCTTTAGAACGTTTCGTTATTTCTAAACTCGCAAGCATTTTTCGTCTGTCGTATGTTGTTTTCAATCAAGCATCGAACGCAAGCTTTGATTGACGTCAAGTTTATGCGGCTTCTTTCAAATGCACAACTGACGTTTTGAGATTCTACGGTGAACCGTACGTGCATTATTTACAAGCATGTGACATTACCTTTTGTGTTACCCGTTGTCAAGTGTGTTGCTAAGGCTGACAATATCATTACATTTTGTTAAATGCTTCTTAACCAATCAGATTTTCACGTTAAATGTAACACCATGTTTCCCAGCGGATGCCAGGTTATTCCCTCAAGTTTCCGTGGCACGGAAACCACTACGCTCCGATTCCATTAGGTTTCCCAAGCCACGAAAACCTCAGGAATTCTGATGCTTCCCGAGCCTCCAAGTAGTTTCCCAATGTTGGAAATCTGAGGAATCCACTAGTTTCCGTAGGCTTCGAAACAACATGGAATTGGAGCGTAGTTGTGACGGAAACTCAATGGAATCACCAGGTTTCCCATGAGGGAAAACAATTGGAAACCTCAGGATTCCTCACGTTTCCATGACTCCGGAAACATCATGGAATCGGGGCGCACTGGTTTCCGTGTGGAGGAAACTTGGTGGAATTGTCTGGTGTCCCATATTTTGAGTATCTAATCATTTCTTTAAAAAGAGAGAGAGAGAGAGAGAGATAAATACGACTTGATTCCATATATAATTTTACCAATTACACATGCATGAACATGTTTGTTTTCTGCAAACCAATTTTCATCTTCAAAATCAATATGAAGATATTGTATTTTAAGATACTAATTTTTATGCATCACCATGAACGAATGGGCAATCTCCATCATTGACTTTGACCTGTGAAAAAGTTATTCTTAAACCAAAATATATGTCTCCTTTAAAATAAAGTCTACGGGTTATAAACTTAGAAGTTGCAAGACAATGATCAATGACGAGCATATCAATAATCTCTAAAAAGTCTTGGAATGGCCTAGAATATTACATTTGTCCATACTATACATGTGTAACCTTTCACTTGTTAACAAAATATATATCCTATGGTCATAAGCAAACTTTGTTCTAAGTAGCTTTCAATATTTCTCCCCTTTTAAGACTGGTTGCAGTGAGGGACAAATAGACCAAAACAAAAAACAAAAAACCATACCTTGTTATGAAAATATGATAGCATAAAACTTGAATGACATTGAGCTTAGCCAACTTGTTCTTAATCCCATATGCTTGATATATTTGATCTTGACCTTGTTAATAAGTGTTATTCAAAAGTTACAACATTACAAAATCTCAAATGAATAAATAATACTTATTTGCCTTTTTTGTGCTTATTTCAAAATTTTAACGTGTCCTTCAGATGATACCTTAAAAACCGAGGCCCCGTGTCACGGCAGGCGTTGGCACAATAAAGATCCCTCAATGATTGCTCAATGGCCCTGAGTGCCGAGTAAAGGTCTAAATTTGAAGCCCTTCACCGGTATATGGAGACGTCTTTATGTGAGTGAAAAAATCTCGAACGGGACGTAAAACAACATACAATCAAGCATTCAAAATTTAAACAGGCAATAAAATTATGAAGTTTTGCTGGTGCATGCAATTTTTATCTCATTGTGGACCAAACCAAGCCATGTTGTTACATAGCCTCTTATTTTTCGGCTTTCAAATTGAACTCGAAATAAGCTCTTACTGTTCATACTATCGTCTTGCATGACTGTCAATAATTGAATAAATTTGGATCAGTGCACTTAAGCTATGAGAGTTGGGTCCCGGTGCTCTGCCAAAAATATATTTCCGAAATTTATAAACTTTTTGAATCAGAATTATTAAACAATATCTTAAGAGCAGGATTTGATATATTATATCACATGGAAATATTAAATAATGCCGAGCGACACTGGTTTTTGTGACGGGGTCTAGCAGTTTTGTCGCATTTCTATTGTTATTCATATGCATACCAGTTTTCAACGACATTGTTTACATCGAGCCGCAACTTGTCCATTCGTCTCATTTGCACAGAATGTGTATTTTGATCTAAACTTATACATATCCAAAAGGCAATGTTGGACAATTTGCGGCTCATGTGTAATTTTTTGAAAAATTCTCCAAACTTCGGTCGAGTTACCTACTAAATTAGCAGGTCACCAAGTTCCAACGGTTTGATATTATAATCACTTTACTCACGTGACATTCCACTGTTCGATATGCTTTCATTGTGTCTGTCAATCGAGGGCTGAACACACGGATATGTATTTAAGTACAAAATCTTGCTATGTATAGACTTTTAATACAGTGAATCATAAGATTTTTGAATCTTATACAACTGTATTAGGAATAGGGCAATGCTCTATTTCTTATACAAGTCTTTACTTACCTTTCATTTTTGAACCAATCAAAAGTACTCACATTGGAGTCATCCTTTTTTATCATAAAAAAGCACATGGTAAATAATGGTCGATTTTAGCAGTAAACATATGTTTTATGGAAAGGCGATCAAAAGGAGTAACTACATGTGATTGTAACAGTTGCTCAAATGCTGCATTATCTATTCTAAGAAGTTTTTATAACTTCTGGGGTCTTCTCTTTGCACCTCATCTAGCGATGCATTATGTGCACCATGCACATGTACGAGTGTTCCGCCGATGTTTCCATCGTGATGGTCTTTTCAGTTTTAATGCAGTGCAAAATACTATAACAGATACTGCTGACGGAACCTCGTTTTCCATTATTGAGAGAGATAGAGAGAGAAACACGTAGAAAATGCCTTAAGTTTATTAACAATCTAATAAGATATATATAAGCGTGGGTACAGGAAAGTATAATAATACAGATATAATACTTGCATAATATTACAAATCTCGCCGTGTGTACCGGCTTCAAAATTTTGCGAAAATTTTATTAGGGTCTTAAAGTTTACCTTGTCTTCTTTCACTTAATTGTGTTTTTCGTTTGGAATTTTGAAGGAAATTCTGGTATTGCTAGTGCAGATCAGGTGCACGGTTAGTAGGTAGCCGTGCTAGCTCATGTCGCCTCCGTATTATGGTCTGCAGGCATCTACAGACACATCCCTAAACACTATATCATACCTGACAATATTTTGATTGCCGAAATGTAACAGATATTGAAGACATAAGCGAGTGATTATCGACATAGTAACGTTGTAGCATTTTCTTTGACAATGGTTTTTAATATCAAATATACTTGTTCCGTCAATAAAATGTTAATTTAAATTACATTTATAATTTCTTTATTGTATAATACACCCATATGGGTCAAGCAATACAATACAAAATAAAAAAAATCACATAACAATGAATGTTTATAAACAATAGGCACAATTTAAGAAATTTACTCAATATATGTTACACCGATGTGGACCTTTTATTTCTTAATTCTAATGATCGTTTTATAAAAGTGCAAACAGCCGGTATAACTTCAAGTATATATTCAAGTTTCTGTATGGGTGATTTGAGATAGAATGAGGAACAATAATTATCTAACAAAGTTTTTATAAGTATATCCCTTGCTTGTATATTACAATTGCATTTTAAAAAGAAATGAAACTCATCATCAATAGCATTACATAAAGTGCATAATCTTTACAGATAGTTTGTATTTCTTGGAATTTTCTTGTTAATCTAGCAACTCAATTTTTTAGTTAAAATTTTATATTTCATTTCCGAATGTTGTTTATCTATGCATGCATATAATAAAATATTATCACCGTGAGTAATACATACATATATACTTTAATTGTTTCACTACACATGTTTGTATTACTACGTATTACATGTACAGTGAATTACCATTAAATGTAGAATGACATCGAAGTAATGTAAATCTGAATCTTTCCTAATATATACATCAATTTTTTAAATTGAAAAACATTCAGCATATAA